GTACGACGATATGGTAAAGCTGAACGAGCTATACCTTTACCAGGTGCATGCATACGACCCATTTTGATTTATTTATTTTTATTTATTATTTTTTGGATGCAGAAAAAAAAATTTTTTTTACTAATTTTGTTAGGAAAGATCGACATTTCACAATGTTTCGACTAAATGTGTGGCAATAAAATTTACATATTAATATTAATATGCTAGAAAATAGTAAGCAAGGAAATATAAAGCAATTGAAAGCCATAAAGTAACTTTAATTAAAAATTTTGGAAATTTGTTGTATAAACACCATATAAACAAGTGATAAAGCAAATCCGATTAACGCGCTACAAACAATTGGTTTTAATATTTTTTGTATTAGTATTAAGAGTCCAGAAGTTTCAATAGTTCTTGTATCTGCCAACTCTTTCTAACCGAAACAACGTAAGCACCAAAGTGTATTAAAAATAATATTGTAGCTCATAAATCTGTCATATATGTTTCGTTTAATCAACAATAATGAAATGATGCTTACCTTGATACTTTGGTTTTGTATTCCATTTTTCACCCGCCGAACTTTGTTTTACAGGATGACTTTCATAGTTTTGATAATAAGAATTGTTTACTGGCATCACTTTTGTAATAACTATTAGATTCTGGAGGTGGCGGTGGCGGATATTGTGTTGGGTATTCCGGAGGTGGAGGTTGAGGATGTTCGTAATTTGAGTAAGCTTTATAACTCATTTATAGTTGTTTTGTATTTCTTTTGTTTAGGAAGATGATTTGAGAAAAAAAAATATCGAGAATGAAGGTTTATATCAATATATGGAAAATGTAAACATTTATACAATAAAGAAAAAAGAAATTTCCTATTTGTCATGTCATGATTTGTGCGAAATAGTATTACTGTCGATTAATTGAATCAAGAGCTAAAACGAATCTATTTTATAATTTTAGTGGTTCAAAAAAATAATAAAAATTTCCCAACTTCCCAACAACAAAAACTAATTGTAAATTCAATTTTTTCATCGATTTTCCATAATCGTAAATTTCACTTGAAAACTAATGATAATCGTAATAAAAAATATGATGATTTGATTTTTCCATCAAATAAATTTATTATAAATGATCATGCAATTGATAAAAAATATATCACTTCTTTGGGGAAAACTCAAGGTAAAAAATAAACAAAAATAGAGAAATTTTAATCGAGAATTTAATATGTTCCTTTGTTCATTTATTTGTTTGTGATTTCTTATTAGGTCGCTTAGTTATTCTTGGTAAGGTTATATATATACATACATATAAAGAAATCAATCTTTAATTTCTTTAAAATTTTTGGTATTTATCACAAAATTCTTTAATTTTTAAAGGATCGGGATGGGCAGGTAAAAATGTTTTCTTAATTTCCTTTTGATATCTTTACTTTCTAAAATTTTTATATTATCCATTGTTGTTATAGGATATAAATTACTCAGAGATATAGATACGAAGCATCACGAAGTAATAGTTATTGCTCCAAGGTAATACATAAAAAAAATTCCAATTCCCCGTCCTTAATTACTAATTTGTATTTTATTTATAAATTAAATTTTAGAAATTATTTTGTTTTGTAAGTAAATTTTTTATCTTCATTTGATTTTATGAACTATATAATTTACATTATTCATAAATACACAAACACACATATACAGCACACCATTACTTGCTTCATCATCGGTTGGAACTTTGGAATTTAGATGCATAATGGAACCTATAAGAAGATATTCACCCAAGGTACAATATTATCAAGCTTACGCCGACCGTGTTGGTATGTTAATAATTAATTATTTAAAAAAAAAAAAATACACATACAAATATATATTATATATTAAACAAAACAAAACAACTATTTTAGATTTAAAGGAACAAATACTTTACTGTACTTCAAATCTTGAACGTAACACAGAAAAATTCAAGCTTGAATATGACACATTGATAATAGCTGTTGGTGCAAATTCAAATACATTTGGTATACCTGGTGTCGGCGAATACGCCTTATTCTTAAAAGATGTGTCCGATGCTCGTAGAATACGTCAACGTGTCATCGAATGCTTCGAACACGCAAGTCAA